AAGCACACAGCCAGGATAACCAAGGAGTGGCTCCGTAAGAAGCATATCAAGGTTCTGGAGTGGCCTAGCCAGTCTCCAGACCTCAATCCAATAGAACATCTTTGGAGGGAGCTTAAACTCCGCGTTGCTCAGCGACAGCCCCGAAACCTGACAGATCTAGAGGAGATCTGTGTGGAGGAGTGGGCCAAAATCCCTGTTGCAGTGTGTGCAAACCTGGTCAAGAACTACAGGAAACGTTTGACCTCTGTAATTGCAAACAAAGGTTTCTGTACCAAATATTAACACTGATTTTCTCAGGTGTTCAAATACTTATGTTCAGCAGTGCAAGACAAATAAATTCTTTAAAAATCATACAATGTGATTTCCTGAATTTTTTTTTATTCTGTCTCTCAGAGTGGGAATGCACCTACAATGTGAATTTCAGACCCCTCCATGATTTCTAAGTGGGAGAACTTGCAAAACCGCAGGGTGTTCAAATACTTCTGTTCCTCACTGTACTTCTCAAAGTGTTGTCATCATTGTGAGGTTGCCAGGCGATCACTGGAGACTACACAAAGTCAGACAAGTAGTCCAGCTCTTCACCCTTTGTAAAACCTTACAAAAGGTGTCAAAGAATGTCAAGCTATCGCTTTGCATCCTTAGTCCATTTGGTACATGTATATATGTAAATGGGAGTCAAAATAAAAGCACTAGGATTTTTGTGCACATTTTACTTGGAAGCATTATTCTTGTTTAGCCTCATACCCAATGACAATATTTTGTAACTGTACCTGTGAGAGCAGTCTGTACTGTACTGTGCTTTTCACTTAACCTTTATCCCAAACTGAATTTTATTGCTAAAGTTAGCTATAAAACCGACTCTTACCTTGAAGTAATTTTATCTTTACGTTTTATTCTAACTAAATGGAAACATTTCTCTCAACATTAAACCCAAGTCTTACTCTGAATTTGTGTGAAGTAGTATACAGCAACCTGATACACCTGCTGTGCTAGCATGTCCTCATATACAGGTCCTCATAAAGGTACAAGATGACATGTAAACACTAACACACTAAGTGGGACATTGTGAAGGTCAGTTACATGTCAAAACATGAATCAACAGTCAGTGCTGATGATGAATTATGACATGTGCATCTCCTGCTCAGTGGACTGGTCTGATGGCTGGCATGGTAATAACAAAGGAACATAGCCTGTAGTCATTTTACTCCTCTGAGATGTCCTGTATTCTAATGTCCAGACTACTGCTGTTACTGACAGCAGCTACAGTAGGCTACACTCTTACGTCCTCTTTCTTTCACTGTCTATATTTTCTCTGTCTCTCTGTTTTTCTCTTTCTCTTTCCTCTCTCTGGACTCATTCTCTATGTTTGGCTCCCGCCTCTCTGTGTTGCTGCTTGTTTGTCAGATGATGTATCGCAGGTGTAGTAGCAGTATGGCTTTAGTTGGACCTTGGGGGATACTAAAATTCTCTCTCTTACGTTCTCTTTGTACCTCAGAAACTCGTACTGAACTATATGTGTGCTCTTTCTGTGTAGCAGTGGATGAAGCACTATTTGAGGTCTGCAGCTTGGGATCAAACTGTGACTTTATTGAATAATCCACTGACCCAGCCATTGATCTTTACATCTCTGTCTCCTTTTTTGTTCTCTGCTTCTCCTTGTCGGTGGGGTTGCAGTATCGCTAGTCTTTTGGAAAGCAACTCTGTCCATGGTGTACTCCCTGTCACAATGATAAACTGCTTTTCACCAGACAGAGAGCAAAGAAAAGTTTGGCTCACAAAAATGTGAATTTATAGATCAGTGGCATAAATTGGTTTGAACAGATGGGGATCGCTAATTTAAAGATTTGAATGTTATCTTTAATGGGTGTGTGTGTGTGTGTGTGTTCATTCCAGGGACTTGGCGGTGATCGTGGCATCCATTGCATACAACACCTGGTTCACCAAGCTGTACTGCAAAGACATGCGCATAGTAACTATCAGTTTTATCTTCCTTGTTTATAAACCTTCCTGCCAGATGTAGACTACCGCTCAGTTTTAAGTTTTTGGTGAAATAGTCATAAATGTATAAATTCAATTATATGTTTATTATTGAGGTCATACTTAAAGGTGGTGTAATGGACTACATTATATCCACAGGTGTCTCTATATTTTTGTCCTCCCCAGCTACTGTACATACATGAAAAGATCAGAATATTAGGAACACCTCTGAATATAATGTAGTTCAGTACAACATCATCTTTAACTACTAATAAATTATACATTTCTGACAAGTTCACAAGAAAGAAATATAAGCTTTATAAAACTAGGTGTCCTGACAGATTGTACTAGATTGCATTCAGTTGTACAGGTGTACCTAATAAAGTGCTCGCTGAGAGCATATGCTAAGTGAAAATCAAGTTAAGCAAGATTGAAAGAGAACACTAAGACAAGTTAGCCTCAGTAAAGTTTCATGTCTGTTTAAGATGATGTCTATTAAATATTCATTATATGCATTGGAGTGAATGGTATCCAGTGATGTCCGAGGTCAACTAACTGGAACCAGTCTACAAAAAGTTAAATGTATAAATCATTTTGGAAGGAATGAGATTAAATGTGTTCATCATTAAAGCCCAACAAAACCTGATATTGAATTTTAAAGATTATTTGTCAAATGTTCTTGTAGGCAAAGTTGTTTACATGTAGTGTTACCCACTGAAACACTGTGCATTTCCTTCATCATTTGCAGAGCTGATGTTGGTGTTGCTGTTTTTTAAAATATTTTAAATCCTTTATTGTTTACACTGTATTGTATTTGTTTTTGTGTACAGTACATGCATGATATAAACCAAATGGGGACACACACTTAAAAATATTGTGCCTTTTTAAAGTAGTTTTTTCTATATAATATACAATAATTATGGCTTAATAAGCAATACCCAAAATTAGAATTCTGAAATATAACCACAAAAACAATCCCACAACTGGTGCCACTGGTGGATAGTAGTTCTTTTTTCAGCTGAGCCCCACCCACCTCAGACCCACGAGATTAGCACAGAGATAAGAAAAACAGACATCTCTCTCCCAAACTGTTTAAGATTTTACAGTAAATGTTGTGTTTATGAAGGACTCCATTTATAGTAAGAAGCTGCTTGAGAACAGATTTTTGTAGGGGCTTTTAAAATTACACTACCATACTAAGGGTAAATGTTTGTTAATTTTGTTTTCTCCAGGGCTCAGAGGTGGTGGACCAGGTTCTGCACACAGTCAGCAAGTCCAACAGTTTAGAGGAGCTCACTCTGGAGAATGCTGGGCTCAAATCGTAGGTTTCTTCTTACTTGACATCATCAGCCCTGCCAGGCACTTTTCTTTGTTTACATCTAATTTCCTCTCCAGCTGTTCTCCCTTGACCTTTACCTCTCAAACACTCATCTGCCCCTTCACTATGGTCACTCTTTTCTCTTCCCTCTCCTTTTCTCCTGTGCCTGTCTGCTCTTCCCACTTCATCTCTGTCATCTCACCTCTCCACTGCTCCCCACCCTCCTCTGCTATCTTGACCTTTTCAATTGTGTGTCTTGTTCTTGTTCCGTCTCTGTCACCTCTCTTAAATGCCACTCTTTCATCCAATAAAGCTCATGTTTGCTTGCAGCCTGCAGTGATTCTCCATTGAAACATAAGTGAAAATGTGTGCTTTACCTGGGAAGACATTTTGCCTTCTGTGCATGGCTGGCATCATTAAGCAGAGCAGTTACCTTATTTAGTATTAATTGAGATGAATTGGCTGTCTCAATGCAAAATAATGTACTGCAGCACAATGATAAAGTCACCAAGTTTTTATACTTTCCCTGTATTAAATTGCTTTCAAGAGAGAGAAGTTTTTATTATAGGCTTCCTCAGTGCATTGCACCAGAAGCTGAAGAACCACATGCTACAGTATGTACTGTACATTACAAAAGTGAGGTTCTCAAATAGTATATCAGCTAATAGATGCCCCCTGAAATACAGTGCACATTCTGATGCGACTAATTAACTTTCAAAGAACTTTCTGGGAAAAATAAAAGCAAATGTAAGTACAGCACAGTAACAAAGATGAGTCTTGAATTCATAAGTATTGATATTTTAGTGACTTGTTTTACAAAGATAGAAGAATTCATATTAGTTATGATGTGCAGTACAATGCTCATACTTTGAAGTGTGAAATGAGGGGGGATTCTTTGAGCTACAGTAATTATAATAAATTTGATTTGTTGGTGCAGGTCAAATACCCAAGGACACCTTACAGAACAAGGAGCAACAAAGAATCAAAACAACAATACAAAACAATGATGTTTTAATGTGACTTAGCAAGCTTGATTTAATGCACTTCTTGACCTTTAATGGCACGTTTATTAAAACAGCTATAATTTACATTTTGGCCACTTTGGGGCAGCAGAGCAATCTGTAATGACACAGCCAACATATTAACTTGTTAAATTGTTATAAGGGATGTATAAGCAAACTGTTTTACACTTTCAGCAGACAGGAACATCATTGTATTATTGGCACTTATGTAAGCTGAATATTAACTCTCCTTTAGCTCCATTTTTCTCTGTGCCAACTTTTAAATGTCACATTTTGTGCAAGGGTGTTTTCACACCTGCCTTGTTTTAGATCCTGGTGTGGTTCACTGGGGCAGGTCAGAACAAAGCAATCACACTTGAATGTGGACCAAAACAACCATAGTGCAACCCTTTACTGGATGTGGTCTTGTTCTGGTTCCTAATGCAGTCTGGAGCAGTTAATTTGCAGTGGGAAGGTGATCCCGAATTCAATTAGCACAAATGCTAATTGTGCTGTCTCTCTATGCCCTAAAACAAAGATCCTTCATAGGAATATTTACCGGTAAAGAACATGGGTCTTCTTCCTCTGTTTACATTCTTGTTCCCATCCCAGACTCATTTTACCAAAGAGGTGGGGTGGAAAGAAAGCCCAAGGACATCTGGTGGCTGGAGGGGAAATGACAGGAGAAAAGCCAAACAGCACAGGACAGAGACAAGAGACTGACACTTGAATTATCTTCAGTAGCTATTCACATTCCCTTTGCTGCTCAGTGCTGGGCACATTGTGCATAGTGCTTTCATTAGAGCTTTGTTTGTGTGTACAGCTGCCTGCTGTGGCTGAAAACAGGTTGAGAGTGGCAAGGACGAATAAAGCATTAAAGTTGTGGGCTGTAAAACCAAAATAATGAGCTAAGTGATGCTTAACGGCTTCGTAGAGTTGAGGAAACTGTTGGAGTTGGCTGATAATTATCTTCTGGTTTGTGATTGTGAGCGACCCCTTACAGATTGCACAGACTGCACTGTCATTACATCTGTTGATCCAGTTTTAAATGGTGCAGCTTTAAAGCCACAATTTCATATAGCCAGGGCCTCTACAGATTCGACTTTTAAGTGAGCTTTTTCTTTTGATTAAGCAAACATATCGACTAATGAATAAAAGACTTCATCAGCTTGCTCTGTCTTTGAGACCAGCATTGAATTAACAGTTTTCAGGCTTAATTTTTCTTTTTTTAACATTTTCTCTCCAGGGATTTCCCACAGAAGATGGCGTCAGCACTGTCAGAGAACCCAGCCTCTGTGATTCATTCTCTCAACCTGGCTCATAACACGCTAGACAACCAAGGTATCGGTCTGAACGCTTTCTGCTCCTACTCTCTGCATCTCTCTCAGGGCACCTCTGCTTGTTCTTTCGCTCTTACTTTTCTATGGCATTCTTTTGCTCTCAGTTAATTCAAAATGTCATCACATAACCCCTATTTTCTGTTTTGTTTTCCTGTTTCTCCCTCATCTCCCTCGTGCTACAGTATGTATGTGTAGTGTCGCCCACAGTTCACCACACAAACAAGACCTCTTATGTTTCTTTGAACACTGAAGAAAAATTGTCCACCTCTGTTGCTGTTGTTGTAGATCAGCATCTATATACATTTCTACTGTGTGAATGTTAAAGAGAAAGTGTGTGTGTGCTGTATGTCAGATTCAGGCTTTGCGTGCACACCATTAGCTAACGTCCTTCCTCCTGTCTGACACATAACTTCCACTCACTTCAGTAAATTCTTTTTGCTCACACATATCACCTTGTGTGTAGGCGCTTCTTTATGAGCACATTGACAGTATGTGGAATTCATTGTGATTACAGCCACAAAAGTGCTGAGCACTTAACTACTGTACCATCATAGTAATACCTATAATCATAGCAAAGAATGACCTTCTGCTGTGCATGGTTGCAGTGGTTTTTCTGTTAATCTAAAAGTAAGAGTTCTGTACATATTAATAGAAGCTGAGAGAATCAGTAAAAGACAGGAACCAAGAAATAAGGTTTGGCATTGCAGTGAATCCTGTCTTTAATAACACAGAGTCTATTATATTATCCTCATGGCTGCAATGTGTTTAATGAAATGACTGAGCTGAACCTATGTGTTATGTAATCTGGCTTGTGGGTTTGTCTCTGTGCTGGGTGAGACAATGTGAGATTGTATGTTGTTATGTTGTGTGTGCGTTTTGTTTTTAGCTGTAGTATACCTGAGGGTATGACTACACTGTGTTTTTTTTTTTTTGGCGGGGGGGTGCAGTGAGAGAATTGTGTGTGGGCTCATAACTCTGTTTGGTCTGTAGCACAACAGAAAACAGTAAAAAGTCCTTCACAATTTAGTATCTTTGAATTGCTTGTTTATTTCAACCAGAATTTCAAAATCCAAAGATTTTCACTTCACAAAATCAGCAAAAATTCAAATGTTCAATATTTAGGTGGCTTTGGGTGATTTAGATTTTAAATGAAGCCTTCATGTTCCATCTCCTCTGTCTCCTGTCTCCTGTCTCCTCCTGCCAGGAGTCTCCAACCTGATTCAACAGGTGTGTCGTCTCAACAAAGGACTGCACCTCCTCAATCTCTCCAAGACCTCCTTGTCCTCCAAGGGTAGGAGTGTTCCACTGAGACACAGCAGCCTCCAGTGGCTGACCTTGCACACTCATTTCAAAAAAATTATCATTGGACGTAAATAAATATCAAACCAAATGTTGGAGCTCGTACTGTACAAACTGTGTCTTGCTCAAAGACACGTGAGCAGAGTGGAAGCTTTCTATAAAAGCTGAGCTTGAGTCCAGGCTTTCCAGTCCTACAAACCAGCCTAGCATGTCCTCACATAGATAAACAGACCCATGTCCATGTATGAAATGATAATCAGGCCAGAATCATAAGTAGCTGATCCTTGCATTTCCTGACCGAGACATTAGTGCAGTCTCCCAAATCTGTTGTGTGTATTCCAGACAGTACAACCTCTACTGTAGTATTACAGACATTTCAGAAGTATATTACTGGCACTGATAGGTTAAATATAGGTTATTATAGCATATGTCAAAGCATTTTCAATCTTTTGTAGAACTCATGGGTTGTGATGTTTATGTGATTTAGCTAATATGATGATGTGTTGCAGAGCAGTGTGCTATCCTGTAAAGGCAAAACCCAGTAACTACTTGTGTGAGTTAAGAATGGTGTCACTTCTTGATATATGTTTTAGTGTAGAAAGATTACCTACTGTGCGCAGCAGAGAGAGAGTCAACTACAGAAGGCTGTGAAAGAGAGCTATGTCAAGCTGTCTGGCCATAGCTGGGGGGCTGAATATAATTATAAGTCTGAATTTTACTTATGTGCCACTACCCAAAAGCTTCATGTCAGATGGTGTATGCTGTAATTGGAAAAACCACACTAGATAGGATTTTTAAAAGGCACTGGGTTAACACAGTGATTCAGGGGAATGCAGTGAGAGTGCTGACCTTGGATGGTGCGTGTTGGTATGACTTTGCAGGGACTGAGTATTTTTTGTTGAATATTTATAGATCTCTCTCTCTCTGTCTCTCTGTCTCTCTCTCTCTCTGGCCCTCCTTCCCTTTGTCTCTACAACACCTACACATATGCCAGCACTTACACACACCTAGGCTATATACGTCACTAAGATGTGATGAGACATGCAAATTGTCAGATATGTGACACATACTTTTACACCCTTGCTCCTGCACACACTTGACAATGTCACACAGGCTGGATGACAGCTGATAGATAGACGGAGGGGGTATTAGACACCCTGTCCCTTCTTCTCCTCATTTCCGTCCTAATCGCTACAAATTGGGAATGACGAGCTTAGCACCTTGCCAGCTTCAGAGCTGCACATGCAGTAGCCGGCTTCTTCCGCACACTCTTATCAATTCAGGAGAACAAGAGACACACATCTTTCAACTGCTGGCTGCCATCAGTGATATATCACAAAGTAACAAATGCTTGTTGCTGCTAGATATTCCTTTCATGTTGTTATTGCATCTATATTTAATCCAAAACTTGGCTACGGCTTGCTGTGCTTTGTGTTTGTATTGCAGGGTGAGGATTTTAATGAGGGGTTCCTTTGGGCCTGTGGGTGTAATTGTGTAGTGATCTGATTTAAAAGAATGATTTTCTTTTGTTTTGGCAATCAGGGTAGACTTGGGTGCCGGGATGGGGGAGAAGGTGGCTGCGTATGAGCTCAGCGGTCTCTCCTCAGTGATCTTTTGCCACAGTGTTTGCTTATGATGTAGTTTTCTACAGTACCATGTCCACCGCTATTGAAAAAAGATACAAACAGGCTGATTTCAAAGTGATTAAATGACTCAAGGATGAATAGAACTTGTGTATCCGAACCTCCATCATTTCTCCTCCCTTACTCCCACTCTGTCACTTCTTCTATGTCTTCACTAGGTGTTGTTTCACTGTCCCAGGCGTTGTGTTCAAGTGATGACTACTCCAGTTCTCTGCTGCATCTGGACCTGAGCAAAAACCCTGGGGTTCTGTCTGGAGAGGATGCCACAGTGAGGGATTTGCATACTCACACACATGCACACACAGTGCCTGTAAAAAATTTGACCCTTTTGAACAGTTTTTTTTAAATTTTTTTAGTTATACTAAGTGTGTTTCCATATGCTTGTCATTATGCACATTTTCAAATGCCTAAAAATCCTGCCAAAATACAAACAAAGGTCAAATATTTAATCTCAGTGAGACCAACATCTAACATCTGCGTAATGATACGGAGTGGAAATGTACATTCATTTGCATTTCCTGTCTCCAAATTTCTGGAAATTGCGTTAAAATGTGCACCACATTACATGGACACCTGACTATTGCTTTACAACATTTCATCAAAGGAGATTTAATGTAGACACTGACTAACAAATAGATTCTGATAGTGATTCAGATTGATTACAAATATAAAAAGCATAGATTTGTGAGGTATTCACTCCATGCTTCTTTGTTGAACCGTTGACGCTCTGTCATGTTGCATGTGGATTGTGAGTGAACAGCATTTTTAAATGGATTGAGGACTTGACTCTGACTCGGCCAGTCCTGGTCTTTTCTGGGTTTTTTTTTCCAAGCTATTCTTATACAGTCTTGTATTCATGCTTGGGCTTATTTTCTTGCTGGGAAACAAATCTTCTCTGAAGCAGCAGGATTTTGTTGCAGACTGCAACAGGTTACGCTTGCTGTAGGATATTTGTGTATTTTGCTGGATTTATTTGACCGCCCCAGGGCCTCCTGTAGAAAAGCACTCCCATGGCATGATGCTTCACACCGGCAACAGTGTGATGTTTATGATGGTGTGGTGTTTAGTCTGATGAAAAAACTCGATTTTGGCCTCAGCAAACCTCTGGAGCTCCTTCCAGCTGACTTCAAAGTATCTTGTGTGCCCTCTGGCAAACTATGGCTCAGATGTTAGGAGTTTTTTAAGAGTGGCTTTTTTTTTTTTTTTTCTTTCACTTTCCCAACTGCGACTGTCAACACTTAGCCAACTTTTGTTGCCTACAAGGCTTCATCACCCTGAGTTTCTGAACTCAGCTGTCCTAGGGCTTTTCTCCCTCACCGCTCTCTTCCTTGCGCTCAGTTTTTGAAGATGGTCTAGACGGATTTACTGGACCCCAAGAGATATTTAGTCGCATTGAAATTTTCTTGTCCTTCGCCTGACATTTCAATCACCTTTCTACTGAGTTCTTAGGAGTGTTCCTTTGTTTTCATTTGTAGAGTTTATCATGATACCGGCTCAAGAAAAGTATTGTGTGTTGCCCTGCAACTATTTTGTATTTTATTTTTGTACAGCCTTTCGGTGACTTTGTACCAATCTCACTTTAAATTTCCTATTTGTTGTTGTAAAACAATAAAACATGAAAACTTTCAAGGGGAGTAAATACTTTTGGTAAGCACTATATGCAATATTTTTGTACATATTTGTAGGTATATAGTTTGTATTAATTCTCTTAACATCTACATTTTCCTGTGCAGAACCTGTACCTGTTCCTGGCCCAGCCCAACTGCCTAGTCCATCTGGATCTGTCTGGGACAGACTGCACTGTGGACTTGGTTTGTACTTACGATCTCTGTTGCAGTCACTATCCACCCGTTACTGTCTGATCTCATCTCTAAAATGGGATTCAGAAAGGGGTAGCATCCTGAATACGAATCGCCCACCACACAATAACAGTCTAACCTCAGTTGGCTCAGACTTTTTTAGAGTTTCACTATGTATAATACATTAAATGGTGGTGAAAGCTCTTAGAAGGCACCACAATAGACGACTATTGCCTCTAATGAATTCAATGAGCACATTGTATAAATAGCATGCAATAGTCCTTGCATCATGAGTTTGGTCATATTTTGTCACTTCAGAGAGGTCACTGTGTCTGCCACTGTGACAGAACAGTGTCTTGCCATGTTAGCAGATGTGCCTGCCCCTGCCCCCTATTGCTGAGATGGCAGATTTTGTTCTGGTTCACTGTAACTGTGCAGGTTAGAAGGTATATCTGCACATATACTTTCAAAGATGTACAGGTTTGTGACAACTGCTGGCTGAACAGGAGGTTCCATTTGTTGTTTACATCTACTGCTGTGTCACCACTGTATTGCTGCTGACATTCATGTCTGTAGACAAGGTCAGCAAACACTCGAGCTTCCTGTGACAGCTTCACAATAAAAGCCACCCCATGTTTCACCACACCTACTGTGAACTTACATCATCAGGCTGAAATGTATGAGCTAAATTAAGAAAACATACTGTTGGATTACTGATGTACTGGTGTGAAGGTAATGGCCGATTATGCCAATAACAAGGAAAACTACTGTGCAGAGATATAGTTAGAGAATACATATCTTTGTTTTTTTTTTAATGCAGACCATTATTTGTATTAACTCTAAAAGGCCCAGTACTATATTAATGCATCTCTGCAGTACTAATAATATTGTATATTAACTAAAATTAGCTGATAATACTTTTAGCCACTTACGGCTGTGAATGCCGGACTTGTAGTGGAGTATTTTTATATTGTTGTATTACTACTTAGGGATCAAATACTTGCCACACCACTGGTTCCTCTGTATCACAGTGCCTTGCACTTCATTGTGATATGTTTGGATTCTTTCCTTGCTGTACCTCACTTCAGCTGAGCAGTATCACACATGGACCCAGCGAGCTGTCGGGCAGGGCTTTGTTTAATGAAAGAATCATCTACCCTGTGAACATATCTGTTCTCCCTCCCTTTAATGTGGGCCATGAATTTTGTACTGAATGAAGTTGAAATCATCGCCTCTGTCCTGCTTTATTTGCAAGTTCACAAACTTTCTGTCCTTGTTTATTTTTAAAACTCTCCCTGAGACTAAACTAGTATTCAAACTGCTTCATGTCCTGGATTCGTTAATTGTCATTTATCCCTTAGAGAGAAACCCAGGGAGAATTTTTTTTAGTGTTTCCCATTTGGATTGAATTATTAATAATTCCCTGTTTTAATCTGCACTGATGAACCGATGCCAGTCAGGCAATCAATTTGGGTGATGGATCAGGCTGGCAGGGAAAATTGATTTGTCTGATAGTTGTTAATCTTGTCTGATAGTTTAATAAAATGCTGCCTAAAGTCTCACCAGAAACTGGGTATTGATACAGATATTATTTGGTTAGCGGTCTCTCCTGTCAAGCACACACACATATATCATTTTTATTTTAAGGTGTAGTGGCTCACAGGTTTGTGCACATTCATTTTTGTACTTTCCAGAGCCTCACAGTTTGAAAGTGAGTCAAATCTTTAATGTTTGATTTGATATACGCTGTGAGCGGATGATAAATAAATGGTTCCATGGGTTTACATTGATCATATATGCACTGTAGATGACACCACATATTGAATTTCTTACACTTACAAGATTTCAGTAGCTTTTTTCAGAATTTTAATGTGAAACTTGACATTTGATGGATATTCAGTGTAGTAAAATGGAAAAACGAATTTAGTTTTTCCTGGTATGGGTTCCTCTTGACTTTGATGCAGTGTAATACAGTTACACTTCTTATTGCCCATTTGGTCCTGCTATCGGGAATAAGGAGTCTTCTCCGACTGATGATCACTTTCCGTATACACTCTGAAAGATTAGGAGAAACACTGTCTGCTACATTTCATTCAGCTGCTGGAGCTAGAGGGCTGTAACCATTAAATGGACAAGAACATATAATGAATAAAGAACTAGACAACAGTCAAAGCCAAGGCAGGCCAGCTTCCCCATAATACTATTCCACCTGAAAGCAATATTCCCATGATAGTTTGACCCCATAATAATTCTTTGACGGTATAAACATACCCCTAGTATATGAGATAACACTGATATAATTATTCATTTGAAAAATATTGAGGCTTTTTGACTTAATTTCCTATTAGAAGTCACAAGCCAAGAAAGGAAATATATTTTTAATCTTTAACAATGGACAGTTTTTTTTATAAGCTTCCTCTTGTCATATTAGAGCAGTAGATGTAGTATACAGTACACAAAATGGAAATGTCAGTGTAACTACCTTGAAATTGCACTTAAGTACAGGCTTGAATAAAGGTACTTGGGTGTTTTCCATCACTGTAAACTGCTGAAACCCGAGTGTGGGCACCTATTGGAAAGCCTCCTATCAGTGTTTCCTACTGAAACTGTAGCATTCAATCAATTAATAGCCCCAAAGAAAAGACCATTTTAGCATTAAGTGTCTCAGGTACACACAAGAATGATCTTCCTTTGGATACACAGCAGATCTTGAGCAAGTACTCATAACAGATACATGTTTGTATTCACCTGTAGAAAGCACCATATCGGAGAATTTATGACATTCACTGCTGAATGAATGCTGAACGCCATGCCGTTGGAAATCCTACACAGCAGATGCTAAATAAACTTGTTTGTGGTTGTATAAACATAATGATGAACATTGTACTAGCTTGCACAAACGCATGCCATATGGCACACAGGGATAAAATAAATACTAAAACAAATTGCACAGACTGTTTTTAAACAGACTGTTAACATTTCATTTTTATCCGGTACATTTTTTTTTCCACACACTGATCTGCTGAGTCGGGCTTCTATTCATAATATCATGTACTGTATAACGCTGCGTCATACATTAAGGGGCATTTTTTAATGAAGAGGCTTTGACCAAGAAAGGAATACAGTAACATCATTTTTATAGTCTGTTCAGACTGCATTTTGTGTCAGCTTTAGTAGTCATCAGTGCAGCATTCAAGAGCTAAAGTAACTCGCACAACACCATCACATTTACTGTCTGTGGTGAACATAACAAGCCACTTTCTCTCTGCCAGTTGTTTGGGGCCTTGCTGCGAGGCTGCTGCGCTGACCTTTCCTACCTGAACCTGTCCAAGAACTCCTTCTCTCACAGGTGGGCATTCACCTTTAGCATAAATCCCAGTTAGGGCTTCTTTTTTTTTTTTTTGAAAGCTCACAGACACATTTGTTTCTTCTGACTCAGCCAAACAGCTCTGGTGGATTTCCAGTCAGGAGGCATGGAGCAAAGCAAGCATCATCATTTATTTTCTGCTGTAGATTAGTGCTTAGTCCTGGACCTCACTGATGGAATTAGTGTGCGTGCTCATCTAGTTCGTTCTGCCCTCCTGCTTCTCTGTGCCTGTGTGTGTGTGTGTGTGTGTGTGTGTGTGTGTTTATTGAATGTATGTGTGTCTGTTTGCTCACAGGTTTTCTGTCTGTCAAGCACTAGCATGCATGGTTTTTTTGTGTTTGTGTTTTTGTTTGTGTGTGAGAGTGTATGTATGTGTGGCTGTGTTTACATAGCCAACAGGCAGAAGCAGCTCCAGCTCTCGTCATGTCATGTCCCCCAGGAGCCCAGGAGCTTCCCTGCTCAGCATATTACATTACAGAATTACAGAGGAAGAAGTTGCTGAAAAATGAGACTAATTTTATACTGGATTTATTGTTCCAATCCTTGTGCTCCCCAGCCGGCATTTTTCCTCAGCTTCTCTCTTTCTACTGCATCTCTCTATCTTTGCATAGGTGGGACTGCACCTCGTGTTTCACCTTTCTTCCTTGCTGCCTATTGTTCATTGCGTGAATTCTTTCTCTTCCTGGAGCTCTTGGGTACACACATCTCTCTAATTTCTAATGGAAATAGAAATGTCCCCTCCTTGACATCCACACTTCATCCATCTTCTCTGTCTGGTTTTTATATTTCCCTTCTCATGGCCTTCTTGCTTACTGCCTCCTTCACTCTTTACCCTCCATTCTCTTTCCTCCTTTCTTATTCCCTGCTAATAGCCTCTCTTCTTACCATCTTCCTCCCCCTCTACACTCTTCATCTTTCATCAACTTTACCACTAGTCTTTCTCCACACATCTGGCCACCCCTCCCTCCCTCTGTTCATAGTTCATCCCACCTCCAGGTGGTCATGGGTCTTCTGTTGTGAAATGCATGCCGGCTCTGTGTTGTGACAACACTGAGCCACAAAGCTGAGCTGAGCTGATAAGAACCGCCTGGTTGCAGCTCATTATTATGGAGTGGACCACTTCAGACCCCTTTATCACCCATTTCACACGCTGCACTGACTTTTGCACACACACACACACACACACATATAGATGTGGCACTTTGGTGAAACAGTGAGCAAGTCATGTAGATGTAGTTACACATGCTGATATGGCTGTCTGGAAAGTGTTTTGTGAGAAAAACACTGACACTCTGCTTATGCAACAGAAGCCATTCTGTATCTGCAGAGCCCTGACAGGCTTTATGCTAATCATTACAAATGGGTCAAAGAAGAGCTGCTGTCCCACACACTGAGAGGTAATCACAGTAGCAATAACAGGAGCTTGTATTGCAGCTGCCTGGTTTTTCCTCACTGCTATCTTAATGTATTTTGTTTTTCTCCTGCCATCATTCTCTCCCATATGACCTTTTCCATATTTTACCCTTCATAACTTAATTTCCCCCCACTTCGTTCCCTTCCTTATTTCTCATTTTCTTTTATTCCTTTCCTCTGGTGACATGCATTTTTACCTCTTAAGCAGGTTAATACGCTTTTATCTGTGTGGGGTGAATGTTGCAGCAGTCTGGAAAATGTGTCTTGGTTAAGCAGACATTTGCCTAATCGCAGGGATAAATGGGTGAAATTCTTTTGGTTGATGTGTGTGTGTGTGTGTGTGTGAGGGCACAGTGCCTTTGAAATGATCACCATCCACAAATCAGCTGTGGTAGATAACGTCTGTAATGTTACAAGCCAGCTTGGCAAGTGCTGAATCAAATTCTCGTGGTTCCTTTTTTAACATTCAATGAAAAGCACTGGGCCATGTGCACAAGGGCAATAAGGTCTTACACTCTCAGTGCAATATGCAGATAGGAATTCAATGAAGAACAGAATTTGGAGGGGTATATAATTACATTTTCAGCCAGTCGCATTATGGGACTCATACCTATTAAACAGCTTTGCCAAACACGTGGGCACTTGACAAAATTGGCTCAGTAATCAAAGAGGAAAGTGAAGAGAGAAGCTTTCGGTTATGATGCCCTGATGGTTCAGACAGTGTTACAGTAGAGTATGCTGCTACAAGCAGGTGATGTCATATTAGCCTGAATTTACATTAGTGGAAACATTAAAAGTCAGTTTATGTATTTATATTCCCTAGTGTGTGATGATGTGTGGTTTTATTTTGAAGGGAAATGCTAGATGCACCCACATCTTTGACATTTTGTTTCTTCAAATTACCATAATCAGTGTATTTATTTGTATCAGATATTTTCATAAAGAACGTAGTTTATGACAGATGCACTGGTTTGGCCTATTGTGACTGTGATCCTTTATGAAATCCATAAGGCTCATGTATAAAATAAAAAACATCTCTATCAGAACATTAGACAGGGACACTGAGTCAGTGGAAAAAAATGAATAAAGGTATGTTTTGCATGAAAAAAGAACTTAAAGCACTTGAATTAGTGTTCATTAACATTCCAGTTAAAGTTGAAAAACAGAAAGTAGTTGAAGTGACAGTGGAATGTGAAATGCAAGGATAAAGAGAAGTTGAACTGGTGGCTGACAAACAATTTTAGTTTTCTGGGAAACTTAAAATTGTTAAAGTCATTTGAAGTATAATAGCTGGCAGCAGCTGTGGCGTCACTTCAATGAAACTTTCTGATTGCAGCATCAGGTGAGGAGGAGGAGGAGGCCTTGAGCACTGTCAACATGCATTTACCTTGCAAATACATTTCAGATGATTTAATGCATCTGAATAATAATGTCATGTATTTGCTTTTTTCCTTAATTTATAAGGATGTATGGCTTTATTTTAAAAGAAATGTATTAAATCAGCAATATCTGCAGTTAGTATAACTGAGCATGTTTGTTGCTGAAAATCAGCAGAAAAGAGCCCACGTTCATAGCACCGAGAAGAAGAAGCATTTTGGTGATTGAGTCACCTCTACCGCCATCACTGGGTTAACATTTTCACTTTACCATTTAACTTTGTCCATACTTTTTTATGACAAAATGTCTTAAGCTAATAACATTCCCATCAGCCCCTGATGAACTACTATACACAACAAATAAGTAGCAAATGCTACTGTGCTATACCAACTAGCTAAATTAGTACACCTAGTAAAAGTATTTTAACATCGTCACTGTGAGAATGTTAGCATGAAGACGATAGCATTTAGCACAAAGCACTGTGATCTCTGTTACTCTATAATGTGTGGTCTTATTTTCAGAAGATATGATATTACTGTTAGCTGATTCTGTAGAAGAGCAAAGTAAAGAAAACATTTAGCATTTGCAGACATTTTGACACGTCATAGCTGGAAATACACCACTGTAGTTAATAACAGTAATTAGTGCACTCCAGTTTTCAAACTCAGTGAAATTAGTCACATCTGTGCACAGCATATCTGCTATGCCTTGAACAAGATTTAAATAAATCTGACGTGACATGCTATTAATGAATGTCATACTAAGTATGCAGTTTCTTTCATCTTTACTAGCATGATGTGAAAATTCATTATGACCGTGGAATTTAAAAGCCACTGGTGATCTACAATATGAAGTAAATTTCAAGCACATTAAAAGTGTCTCATCATTGAAAGCAGTGCACGTTTTTTATTAGGATGAGGGAAAAAAATGGAGGAATGAAAAATGGCTTCTCTGCCGCACAAGTAAACAACATATCAGCTGCCTGAAGTGAGGTAGCAGGTAATCTTTCTCTGAGAAACAAACCTCATCTTTCTGCAAGATCAATTTATAAAGTAAATTTTCCCCCCCCCCCCACCTTTGTCTCTCATATCCTTCTCCTTCTCTATCATCACTTTCTCCTGTTGTCTCTAGACCCCCTCCCCTCATCCCCCCCACTGTGAATTATTTGTGCAGCAGGGGTTGAAACAGCAGATAGGCTGCTTTGACAAGTTCTACTCACAGATCTGAACCGGTGTACTACACCCGTCCTGTGAATAGCGAGTGTAGTTCCCTTATGTATTATGACTCAGAGGGAGTGTGTACACATGCACACCTACCCACACATACACAGACATATCCTCTGTCCTTTTCTCATGACAGGCTAATATGCCAAGCAGATGGTTGGATAATTGGTCAGTGTTACTTTAACAGGTGGCAATAATGCCAAGTTCACTTTTTCACACTGTCTGGTTGATATAACACTGACTAAATGTCACAGCCAGCATCTGTCTACTGTAGCCTCCTTTCTCCCTTTCCATTATCTCACTGTCACATCTCCATTCATTTGCTACAAACTTTGTCACTCTCTATCACCATATCATGTCTGTCATCCTATCTCATCTCAATCTGTCGCTTATCTGTCGTTGCCACTCTCTCACTTCCTTTTCTTTGTCAGTCAGTTCAAATGCCTGGTTGTGATCTATTTTTAATGCTCACCTTCTGTCCTGCTCTCCTTTCCTTTCTCCATACGTACACTTAGAAGTAACACTTCTAACACTTTCTATTCTTTGCTGTCCTTTTTCAGGAAAGCAAGAGATTCTCTGCCAACCTTCCGCCAGTTCTTCAGTTCTGCGTTCAGCCTGACCCATGTCAGCCTGGCCTCTATGAAGGTCCCTCCTGATTCGTTGAGGTGAGTCACTGTAACAGGCAACAATTTAAAAATACCTTTGAAATTCTGTATCTGAAATTGAATAGAATGGTTGGAAAAGGGATGAAAAAGCAGCTGTGTCACCTCCTTTTACCTCTTTTGTATTTATGTATCAGAATATAATGCTTCTTAATTGGAATTTTAAAATAGTTTTGGAATTATAAACTGAAATGTGGCCTTTACAAAACTATTCAGATCTTTGCTGTGGGCAGGTACATCCTGTCTGCTTTATCCTTGAGATCTGTGTAGAACTTGATTGGAGTCCATCTGTGGCAAATTATATTGATTGGACATACAGTACTTATCAAAGTACTGTATGATTTTAGAATACCTTTCTAATCATTTTACTGTGTGTACTGTCTCTATGTGGTGTGTGGACACAGTTCAGTGGGGAATTGTGTCCTAACTGTATGGCTGGTACCGTAGTTTAGAAAGGCACATACCTATGTTTATAAAGTCCTACAATTCACGCTGCATATCGGGACAAAAACCAAGCCATGAAGTCCAACCACCAGGGCTCCTACAGTCAGCTGTCTGGCCAGACACCTGACAGTCAGTCCTTCAAACAGTGCGTCAGAAGTCCTCTTCAGATATGGAAGAACTGCAGGAGAGATGGTCATCTCAGCAGCATTCCATCAGTCTGGTCTTTAAGGTGGGGTGGCTAGACAAAAGCCACATGACAGCCCATTTGGTGTTCGCCAAACATCACCTAAAGGACTCAGAGAGCATGATCAAAAGACTCTCTGGTCTGACAACATGTAACTCTTTGAGCAGAACTACTGTATGTTTGGTGAATACCAGACACTGCTCATTACCTGGCTGATACATTATGCTATGACTGGACACTGGGGCAACAGTTCTCCCTTCAACACAACAATGACCTGAAACATACAACACTGAAATGATGTCAGGACAAGTCTCTGACTGTCCTTGAGTGGCCCAGCCAAAGCCCAGACTTGGGCCCCATAGAACATCTGTGGAGAAACTGGAAGACTTCCCATCCAGTCTGAAGGATCTGCTAGGGATAAACTGCCCAAATCCAGGTGTGCAGATGTACTGAATTAAGGGTCTGAGTACTTTTGCAAACGATGAGTTTCCACTGTTGTCACTCATTCTAAACACATATCCACTCAGGATCCTGTTGGTACTTCAGTTCAAAGCACTGAGAAGGATTGATGCTGAAGGCCTTTAAATAATATATCCAAATAAGACATGCTGAAAATATAATAATTTAAATACATTCTAAGGTTTATCTCTTGCTTGTTCAGTAATTTGATGCAGAGTGGCCTTGAGAGGACAGTGTTATCTGCCATTATTCCAGGCAGAACCACTCAGAGAGGGATGTTTTTGTTTGTTTTTTTGTTTTATGTTCTCAGGCATGAATACTAAAATATCTTATACCATATGTGGAAGAGTTTGCATCCAAACCACAGTGAGATTTAATCACGAAAGCTCGCATTAGGTTTAAAATGTTCTTCCTCATCAGTGGGACTATTTTCTGTGATGTTAGTAGTCTGGCCTTCAATCAGACAACACAGATTGAAGGCCTAGTGTTGGCCAGCTGTCCACTGTCCTGATGCAACTTTGTGCAGGATTCTGTATCCCTACCAGCTTTAGGATCTGTAACTAAACCAGCTCAGTGAGCATCCAGGCAAAAAGCAATAAATGGATAATGGATTGTGCTGTATTACAGTTTCTCTGTTAGGTGTACAGCCTGCTGTTAACTTCTCATGGCCAAAAATCACAATCAGTAGCAGAATAAACAAAGCAAACTGCCAGCTATTGAGATGATTGTGTGCTGCATGATGGATCTCAGCCAAAATGGATGGGGCGGACTCCCCACTTAGTACTTCTCCTCATTACCTCTTCATGGTACATAGCTCTTCAGTGTGCATTCAGTGCACAAGAACAACCTCCAGCAAGGCCTTGATGTGCAAATGCACTTTTGTCTCTGCATCCAGCTGGGCTTGTGTGTATCACTGTGCATGTGGAACAACTGGCTTCTCCTGAATAAATACTGAAGGTCTCTGAGGTGATTTTTGTGAGCTGTGGCGCTTTGTCTTAAGCTACTTTAAATTGTTTAAGGTGGCTCTAAAATGTTTTGGTGTGCAGTGAACATGAGGCAGGATGGGGCAGTGGATAGGGGTCAGATGAATCAGCTCATGTTGTCAGAGCAAGGATAAGAATTATTTTTGCCTTGCCCTCTTTCCTTCCCATTTCTTCTTATCTGCTTCTCTTCCTTTGCCTTCCCTTGTTCTCTTCCTTTTCCCATCCAACCCTGCCTGTGTTGTCCTTTCAGGGCTCTGTTCTTAGGTCTGTCCAATAACCCTCATATCACTGATTTACACCTGGACATCAGCAGCTGTGAGGTATGTTCTGTCAATCTGCAGTGTTGTAAGAAGATTCACTCATCTTTTTTTCCCCCACAGATTAACATTGGCTGTCTCATCGCGTGTCACTCCTCTCTGTCTTCCTCCCACAGCTGAGATCAGCAGGTGCCGGGGTGATTCAGGAGCTGTTTCCTCGGGTTTCATGCGTGGGGACTTTAGACATTTCTGATAATGGTAAGAGAGACAAATTTCCCACACCCACAAAAAATAGATGGTCTGGTGGTGTATGGACAAGAGTCACATTTACCTGATGGATTTGAAATTAGTTTGTTGCTGACCCTCAAGACCTGAACTTGATCTGAAGGGAGCTTTCCAGAGTTGGAAAAACATAACCCTGATATGTCATAGTGTCAGGGTTATCCTGGCTTTGGCTTGACAGAAAGCCTGAACTGGAGGTGTGGGGTTTGAGAAAGGTAGGGGAGGTGTAATAAATGACATTATTGAGTAGCGTGTACAAGTCCTAGGGTTCAGCATTGGTGGAGCTGAATCATACTAGGGAGTAAAGGTCATAATATCTTGGCCTCTGCACAGCTTTCTTTTTTAAAGTCTGTTGGAGTACTCCAGCATTTGGAAATACAATACTAAGTTAAGTTGTTAGAATACCGTTTATATGGTGCAGTGTCCTGATTTAAACTGTGTTTATTCCTGTGTATACTACTGTTCAAAAGTTTGGCGTCACTATCCTGTTATAGGATGAAACCCTCAAAAGGTCTGGCTTCCTTTGTTAATTGCCTTTTTCCCAATAATACTTCAGAGTGTATAGTAACACAGTTTGTTCCAATAATACCTTTGTCAGCAAAAGCTTGGTCACCTGCAGGAATTATTTTGCATCAATACTTAAAGCTTCATTTTCTTCCACTGCTGTAGAAAAGTGAACCTCTTACTTGATCCCTGAAAAAGGCCTGTTTTACAGGGAATGTATTAAAGCTGTTGATGACTTTGTCTGTTTTACCTCTGTCAGGTTACTTCTTAGTTTTGCATCCTTTATTGTTATTAGCTAGACTTAAACTGCTTAAATGTCCAAATAAAAGTAGTGTGTGTGTAGTTGGGGGTTCTCTGGACCCCTGACATAACTTTCTACATAGTATCATGGGTGCATTGTTCTTACTGTGAATCTGGAGACGACAAGGTACATACTGTGCACAAGGTGACATATTTATGTATAGATGCAAAAGCAAATTCTGCCCTGGGGGCCAATGATGTATGGCTATGTTTATCATCTTATTGTCAAAATCATATGAAATACAGAATTGTGTTGGTAACATTTTTCATTTTATTGGCAAAGAACAGAAGCTGTCCTCATCAAAAGTCATTCTCCTTATGACTGGATTTTAGAATACCTTTCTAATCATTTTACTGTGTGTACTGTCTCTATGTGGTGAACATGCTGTCTGAGTGTCAGTATTATTTGTGCATCACAGATAACTAGATTGAGGACATATTTTTTTGTGTGCTAATGCTCATTCTGTTCTTAGCCACTGACGTTTTTCTCTAAAATTGCCAGTGATAAGAATATATCAGATGCATATATTGGAATGTATTCTCACCAGAGTGCTGTTATTACCATTTATCCTGCCAGCCATTTCCTACTGAAAAAACATAGCAAATGGAATGGCCACTATGTTGTTTCTGTAACAGCCTTTAAGTGATTTATTAGTTTCACAGAACCAGTAGTATCAGCATGTGTCTCCTCCAGTATAAGTTACTCATGCAGCTCTTCTTCTTCCGACTCCTTTGTCGTTTCACAGCTTCCCATCATTGACAAAAATAAACTCGCATTAGAGGCATGTGAGCCTTTTTAACCACAGATCATTTTTTCCATTTGAATGAGGCATTTTTAGTCGTGAGCCTTTTGTTTCTGAAATATCTTGCCATGGTAACCACGTCCTCTCAGCAGCATCCCTGTGCTTTCAAAAATGTGTGGGTGGGAGTGGGGAGTTAATTGGGAGGATTTTGGAAATTCAGTGGGTGGTGAGATTTGGTTGCAAAACACACCATGAGACAAAAAAATTAGCTTTGACTTTTCTGTTTATCAGTTAATTTTTTGTACTTTTTATGGTTAAATCTCACTGAAGTTTTATGCCTGGTCTCTTATTTGATAGATGTAATTAAACATCTACTCAAAAGTGGGCATTCATTAAGGCTTTGTGGAGCGTAGTAGTGCAGGTGCTGTGCTTCTACTCTAGTCATGTGTGTCATGCCCGTGCAGGTTTGGATGCTGACTTGCTGGCTGTCATCCCAGCGTTCTCCAGGCACCCCTCCCTCAAACACCTGATGCTGGGGAGGAACTTCAACATCAAGGGCAGGTACAGACCACATGGGGAACCAGCAGAACAGATGGCTGAGAAGATGATGTTAATGATGAATGTTTTTTCTTCTCTCTCTGCCTCCTTAGGGTGCTGGATGATATTCTGCAGAAACTAGTTCATTTGGTGCAAGAGGAAGAGTGTGTGAGTTGGGATTATGTAACATATTGTACACACATACAGTACAGTCCTCTGTGGTGTCATGCACAGATGCACGCCTACACATGCCTCACAGGTTTGTTGCCACACACATATTATTTGCATGCACACACACACACTTGTCAACATTTAATTTCTGGTGTCCTGATTCATGTAAATTTAAGCTCAGTGTCCCACCTGCCACACACATAAGGTGCAAACATGCACACAATTTGTGTCATCTATGGGTCTGACAAATGATTAATTTGGTCTCAGGTTATTCATGAGGCTCCTGAGGCTGTCTTCTCTGTAAATCCAGCATGACGAGTAGCTTCCTCAATTATTCACCAATGTGTTGATAGCTCTCAACTATGCTCTCACACTGAGTAAGGACTGATGCATTTGAGCAGGCACGCTAACAGAGATACAGACGAGCGTAAATGTGTAAAATTAAAGCAATTACACCAAGTGTGCTAGAGGTTAGCCTGTTAGTCCACTTACCCAGTAAATGACAACTCAACATGAACATCAAAATCTCATCTGTCTGTCTTCTGTAGAGCTTGACTGTTAGCATCAAAGTGAGCCAATGAGAACTCCCAGCAGCCTAAATGATGTGCAGCAAATTCAAAATACATTGGCACCATTCAAAAACAAATCTTACACAGGTAGTTTCATATTTAAAATACACATACTTGAGTTACATTAGATAATAAGATTGCTGTCACACTCATGTCTGTCCACTCAGCCTGAAGCAGGATCCACGAGACGCTTAGTATAAAGACTTGAACTCTGTCCAAAAGTTTATAAAAATTTAGCTAAGAGCATCTTTTTGTTTAAGGTGTAGAAAAACCAAAGTGTAAAAACAAGATGCAGTTTGTGCTTGTTTCCATGCTAACCTACCATTTAAGATGGCTGGATCTGTACACTAACTGGCTACTAGTTCCACCACGTTCCTATTTAGCATGCAGACATTAGGGGCTTTGGTCCTCACATCTAACTTCAACTTCTGTTTTGGCTCCATTAATGCTGAAAAATACAGAGATCTTGGAGCAACATATGCTGCCTTCAAGATGACATCTTTTCTATGCATATTTCAACAAGACAATGCAAAACCTCATACTGTGCACGTTACCAAGGCCTGGCTGTGGAGGACAAGGGTGTGAGTGCTGGACTGGCCTGCCTGCACCCTTGACCTGTTCCCAATAGAGAATTTGTGGTGCATTGTGAAATGCAAACTGTGTCAACAAATGTGCTGCTGTATTGTTTTCAATGTAATACAGTACACCGGTGATTATTCCATACAAAATACATGTTTGTGTAAATGTTGGATTTTGGAGACTGCAATGAAAAATTTCTTGGCAAATGAATATGTTAACACAGTACAAATTTAAAACTCTAACTCACCAGAACTTATCAAGGCAGATTTTTACCGAGTATAAGGACTTGACTTAAACCAATTTTAATCTGAAATCACTTCCCCACGTTTTCAGCCCGCGTAAAACACGTGTCAAATGTCAGTATGCGAGTCATCAGTGTGACGATTCTCTGTGGCGACCCCTAAACGGGAAAAGCCGAAAGTGACTTTCTTTCTTTCAATGGTTGTAATGTGCCGTACTTCAAGAAGACTGAATTTACCACTGAGTATATAGTAGATGAGGGCCTAATGCAAAAAAGGGTTCAAAAGTGAGCAGAAAATCTGGAGAAAATGGAAATGAGCATCTCCTTTTATCCTTTAGATCATTGTAAGTGGGGAAAAAAAGATTCATTGCAGAGGGTTTGATCTGAAAATGGTGTTTTACTGTAAATGTGATTTTCAACCAGACTTTTATATTATTGAGTTTATATAATATGTAATAAAATGTATATAGATTTTACAATAATCATCAAAACGGATAAATTCCCAGATTTTGTGACAATTAAACCTATAAACAATAACCCCCACATATTTACTTGGAATATATGAGTTATTTTGTCTGTTGTCATTACTTAATAGCAAGTCCATGTCCAGAAATGTTTTTCTTTTAATATAGAAATTGCTAATCACATACTGTATATGTCACACTTGAAAATTCTTTTTTTCAAATCCTTTTGCCTCTTTTTTCCTCCCTGTGTCCTCCAGGCCCTGCAGTCCCTTTCCTTGGCTGACTCGAGGCTTCGTCAGTGGGGCACGGTGCTGGTCAATGCACTGGGCTCCAATACCTGCCTGCGAAAGGTGGACCTGAGTGGCAACCTCCTGGAGGACTCTGGGGCCAAGATGCTCAGCAAAGCTCTGCAGATCAACACAACACTCAGGTTTGTGTGTGCGTGTGTTTCATTTTAAAATCACTACTTTGACGGGACTGAAGAGGGATTTCATTGCAGAGGAGAGGAGGAAAAGTAGAGGTTTCAGAAGAGAGATGAAAGAAGAGGATCAGAGAGAAAATTAACATGTTAGGTATGGTTTGAGGAGAGGATATTCTGAGGCTGCGGAGAGGCAGAACAGTGACTTCAATGCACAGCTTCAAAGATTGGTGAGGGGAAGTGAGCCTTGTAGGAGACGAGAAGTTAAGACTGAGGAGTTGGAGGAATAGAGAGGTGAATTATTAGGAGGGAGGGATATAAAGAAATGGCCTTCGGGTATACAATGTACTGTACAACCCTTAAGTACAGTAAGTGAAAAGAAGACATTGAGTGAAGATGTGTATGTTTTTAAGGTGTGTTGGAGGTGGAAAAATGGAAGAAGTAGGCTGCAGAAGCTCTGAGAAAGGAAAAACGAGGAAGGAAAAGGAAGACAGAAGCAAAATGAGGATAAGGTGGAAGGATTAGGATGGAAAAGTGCTTGGATGTGGAAAACTGAAGGAGAAAGTTGTGAAGGGAAGGAAAAGCAAGACCACCTAAGGAGTGAGATTTGGGTTTTGCAGATTGAATTTCTAGGGCAGAGAAAGTTGGAGGGGTGAGATGGAGAAGGAGGAGGTGGAGGATGGATGAAAGGAAAGTGACTGAAATATTAAAAACAGGAGTTAGACAGCGCTGAGTGTAGGTGGAGAATCTTTAGTGTGAATGAACAGAAGCCTATTAATTGCATATCAAAAACCAAAAAGAGAGTCCTGACAAAAGTCTTGTTAATCCATGTGATGTGTTTGTGCAGCTGCATGGTCAGATAAGTACTGTAACCATGATATTATGTTTGTGTGTGTATGTGTTAGGCACTTTAGAAAGCAACTGATCTTCTCCTCTGTGCCTGTCTACCTCTATTTCCTTCTGGTTTGATCCCTCTCAGGAGTGTGACGTGGGACCGCAACAACACCACAGCGACAGGCTTTCAAGATGTGGCGAGGGCGCTGGAGCAGTGAGTTGAACACAACACAAAAGAAAAAAAATACTAAAACGTTTGAAGTGGGAATGCGCACATTAAACGAGATCAGTCACATACCTATTTGAGAGGCAGATAACCATCGCTGTACAGTGCTTACTGTTACACAGTGTTACATCAGTCTTCTGACATGCATGGCAGTCAGATGTGTGGGGGGCGAAGTTTGTATTTCTCTGCGTACAAGTGCATTTGCGTATTAGGGCAAGACTGATATTATCTTTCTATCCTCTTTCCCTTCCTTGTCTCCCCACCAAATAGCAACTTCACTCTGCAGTACATGCCCCTCCCCCTCTGTGATGTCACTCAGGCATACCGCAGCGCTCCAGAGAAGACCGACCAAGCCCTGACCAAGGTGAGAGCACTGAATGGAGATGGACAAACCCACCTTGGTGTCATCCAGTGTTTTTCTAAAGAGTGGTTTAGAAGCTCGAGTCTGTCTGCCACGTTATTGTTAGTGCTTCACTCCGCCTGCTACGACTATGGCAAACAGGCAGAGCGTGAGTGGAGCTGGGGCAGTCTGAATGAGCAGAATGAAGCTAGCCAACTGAGGCTGACCCTCCTGCCTGTCACTCAGTGACCACACCCTTAATTAGGCTCAGAGGTTCCTGCTTGGGTGAGAGAAGCTTTAAATCATCAGTCTGTGATTAATTATGCATAACGTTTAGTCTCAATATCATATAAAAGGGTGAGTTGTATAAAAATTCACCCCCATACAGTTGACATGGAAGTTGAAATTAACTAAAGAGATTGATGAAGAGCTACTTTAAATTACAAGTGAGCTGAAATTCAGCTTATACTATAGAAAAGACTATTATTAGCAGTACAAATGTCATAACCTGTAACCTCTGGGTTAAGGACTGTTGGTCAGTATTAAAAAAAGGACATAAAAGCTGTAACATTTGGGGACCAAAAATGCAATATGCATAGCTTTAAATCATCAGTCTGTGATGTTGAAAGTTGCTGAGAGAGAGAGAGAGACTGTCCCACTGAATACTTGTTAAAGCACTTTGTCCTATTCATACTGCTGTCTTTTTCAATTTAAAGGATGATGAAGAGCTACTTTAAATTACAAGTGAGCTGAAATTCAGCTTACACTATAGAAAAGACTATTATTAGCAGTACAAATGTCTCTAAGGACTGTTGGTCAGTATTTAAAAAAAGGACATAAAAGCTGTAAAATTTGGGGACCAAAAATGCAATATGCACGTTTAACAGTTCACACTGTCCCACCAGGAAGTAAGGAAAGTAATCCATCTTGAGACTATACAGTTGTCCCTCTGCACTGGAGAGTGAAGGACCAAATCCAAAGTCAAGTCAAAGTGTTTATTTGTCATATGCACAGTTAGGAAACGTGTTTCCCTGTACAATGAAATTCTTACTTTGCCGTCCACATGAATGCCACAAAATACAAATGAAATATAAAGTAGGTAAATAAGTAACACAAAATCTAAGACACTTTAAGCAGCAAATGCAGCAATATAATAAGATTAATAAGAGACACCTTGAAGACATTCTATCTGTATGATCCCTCGTAGGTTCTGTAGCCTGGCTCACAGCAGTCAACTGGAATGTCTTCTGTGGATGCTTTCTGTGCTTTGGGCTTCTCATCCAAAATTCCACACCTCAAAAAAGAACCTGACCGCTGAATCTTGTAAACTGTGGAACTTGTCAACAGTGGTGTAGACCAGAAGATGAGAGTAACAGCATAGACAATTTTAAGAGAGCAGAACACTGTTGCACCATGTAGCGGCTGCAGCACAATGACGGCTCACCAAGTTAAAAACAAAACTCTACTCCACTTATAAAGAAAATTGTCTCTTAGTGGCTACTGCTTTACAGTGATTCCCCTGATTGGTTCGTGTCACAGAGACAAATAAATAGGAAGGGGACAGTAGTATTTCTTGTTAATCACTCACAGATCTCGTCTGTTTTTACTGCATTTCCGTGTTTAGCTCAGTGAGCTTTCATATACATAAACCTTTTCTCTTACTCTTATCAGAGTATTCATACCCAGTTATTGCTCTAGCATGGGCCACATGTGTCTGTGTATATGTTATGTCTGTGTGCAAAAACAAGCTTTTTTTCTTGCAGTGTCTCTTTTTTACATGTATCGTGTGCCTCAATTGTCCACAAATGGTGAGGAAGTGCATTTGCGTCAAAAAGCACGATACATTGCTGTAGCAATGTTTAGTGCAGCATGAACTGTACAGCATTGTACAGCTCATCAGTTTTAGGCCTTGGAACAACTTTAAACTTAGCTTGCAAACATGAAGAGCTCTCATTTCAGATACTAAACGATGCAAAGCTTTCTTCACTACCATTGCTACATAAATTCTTTGTCACTTGGCTCGTACGCTCCAGTAAACAGAGCGAGTCTGTTTATATTGTGTGTCACACTCCACTTCACTGTCGTCTCCGCTGTCAGTCAGTCGTGCACTTCTCCTCCCCAGAGTCTCAGAGGCTAAAGGAGCCTTTGTAATATATATCTCCTGAAACTTCAACAAAACAATTATATATTTAAACATCAGTTACTGTAGCTTTTTTTCGGGCATCAGAAATGGTTCTGTCATGCTACTAGCCTAATGAATCATGTCTGGTTCTTATCAAATCTCTTCTGCTAAGAGTGTAGAATAAGAAGCTCTTATTATGTTTAGGGTTCTTATCTGTACATTGTCTGTGAAGCTGCTAAGTCCTTGAGGACCACTGCCATCTTTCTGTACATAAGATGATTGGGCAGTGAACACTTCACCTGCTGAGTCAAGAAAATAAATCAAAGGCAACCCATCAGTAGATTTATGGAGATCAACATTGTCTCTCCAGTCTCCTTATTACCATGCAAATTAACTTGTCTCCTGCACACTGTGCTTTGTAGACCCCTGTCATATCCACTCTTCACCATCCTTGTTTGTTTTTTGTGTGTGTGTATGACAGATCCAGCGTGCCCTGCTTAGGAACAACCAGACTCAGCGCTTCTCTCAGAAACAGGCTCTCAGGTTGCACCAGGGCCTCGTCACCAGCACTGCTGAACAGGTGTGTGTCTGTACTTGTGCATCTGTATTTTTGCACATGATTGTGAACAAATCAAGATTTTTATTGTAGATGGAAAGTCTTGCATTTGTAACTAATTACGTGCATCTGTTTGTGTGTGTGTGTGTGTGTAGGTGATGGAGCGTCTGTGTGTGCGGGTGCAGCAGCAGGTGTGTGTTCTCAAAGGCTGTGAGGAAGGAGAGGAGGTCCAGATGGCCAGACAGATACTCAAAGAAGCCAGGAACTCAAGAGCTGTGAGTGGACTACTTGTATGGTGTGTGTGTGTGTGTTTATGACTTTTACACTGCAATGATTCATATAATGCTACAAGATGTGTGGCACACACACACACAAACCACATTTTTGGTTTAACTTTTTTGGTTACAAAGCCTTGTATATTATGCCTATTTGGTTTTGATTTCCACTAGCAGTGGAAAGTAACTACACTATAAAGGTGTATTTAAGCACAGTTTTGAGGTTCTTCTTTTTGTACAGTTTTTTTTTTTTAATGAAACAAAGTAACACATTAACAAAACAGGACCAAACATGGGACACAAGACAACAGATACATGGCATTACAAAGAGATATAGAGTGTTTAACAAGTGTGGGTATTTCCAACTTATGCAGTCTATGAAATGCAAGAAAGGGAAAAGGAGGAGAAAAATATACAATTTTACAATAATAATGATAAGATTACTATTAATAAAAGCAACTTGTTACATGTTTAGAGGTTGGTGGGAAATTCTTTTTGTAGTTGTTGGTGTATTTCCATTGTATGCTACTTTACTCTTCTACTCCACTGCATTTCATTGGGAAATATTGAAATGTTCACTCTGTTTCATTTGATTGATTAGAACTTTGAAGTTGTCATGTTGTAATAACTCTGCCTGGCTGTCTAGATATTCATTCTCAAGCAATGACAAAGGAACTGCTAAAGTACAAGTGTCTGATCTTCTAGTAAGCCAATACAGAAAGTTCCTCTGTAATTATAAATGTTAAAAAGGGCTAAGACCATTTTTATTATCGATTAATGTATCAGAAATAGTTTTCTGTTAACAGATTCTGTCTGTAAAGGGCCAGAAGTCAGTGAGAGCCTGCTATGGTTTGGCATTTTGTTTGATAAATTGCTGTTATTTCAGTTTTTTTTTTCAGATTAATCATCTTTGGTGTGAACAATCAATTATTCATTTCAGCTCTGATAAAGAGGTTCAATCAAAAACTCAAAAGTATTAAGTTGTAAATGTTAATGAGCTGTTAAAAATGGATTATGGTTGATGTGCTTTGCATGCGCCAAAATATATAATGAGCTTATGAAATATGATGAATTTGTTAGACAACAGATTAAACCAACCAGCAGCACATTGTGTGTTTAGAACTGACCTCAGTCACCAGCGGCAATATCAAAATGCTTCTTATGATCATATAACTGTCAGAAAGGGGACATTTTTCTTAATGAGTAATCATTTTAAATGTCCTCTACCAGTGTTAGCCTGCTCTTTTTCCTCATTCTGGTTTGTGTGTGTGTGTTAGTTGTATCCATCGCTGTGTGAGTTGGCCCATGTGATGTCAGTGGATGGCCCCGTTAAACAGCGCCTGGACGCTCTGGCTGGAGAACTGGCCAAGGCTGCTGATAAAGAACTGCAGGTAAGCTCAGGTTTGGGCTGTGGCCATAATCCCAGAAACAGTCATTCCCTGATGCATATGTGTTTTTAAACAGTAGTGGAACTCTGTACTACTTGTAGTTGCATTTATATTGCCCATTATTAGCGTGTGACTTTGTGCACTGCAGGTGTGCTGACTTCAAGACGTGTAGCATTTTAATTCAAAGGGAAGGAACATTTTAACATTTTTTATTGCCTTTCTGTTCCCATTGGAATTCAGCAGCAGGATGCATTTCAATGAAAACGCAGCAGACCCAGATGGGGAATCTGGGCTACTTTCTATTTCAACTCACCTGAGTGAAATTTACATTTCGGTTTGTGCTTTCTCATTTTGTTGTTCTGCACAAGATGACATTCCTAATTTACAAAGGTCAAAATTTGTTAAATTATTAATATAACGGCTTTAAAATTTTTTGCATATGCACAAATGTCTGACTTTAGCTGACCTGGTAAAGTTAAGGATTGGGAAGAATTCAAGAACAGATCATGTGAATTCTTACCAGCTGGTACATGAATGAAAGGATTGCTGAATTGGAGATAAATAAAACATGACAAGAAGTCAGATGTACAGTATATAGCATAGTGAGAATTTAATAAAAACATACATTATGTACATGTAGCACATGATGCGTGTGTTGGGTCAATTGTTTCCAGGTGGTAGTGGACTCCATGGTGTCTCTTTGCCGGGAGTTGTGTCCCGTGTCCTGCTCAGCAGCTGAGAGACTCAGCCCTCCTCTCTCATCCATCTCCGAGCAAGTTGCGATTCCTCGCTCTGCCATTCGCAACGCTCTGATGGAGAGAGCTGCTGAGGATATCAACAGAGCCCTGGAGTAAGGAAGACAACCGGTGAAAAGGTTTGACGTCAGCTAAGATACTGCTTGAGTTGTTATGTCCTGCTCTTTCTTTTCTCTGCCTCAGGGAGGTGAAGTTGTCTGTGGTCTCATATCTGACCAACTCCATCGTGGATCAGATTCTTCAAGAGCTCTACGCCACTCATAAAACACTGGTACTGGTAATATCCCTTTATTGCATGACTTCTTGTAGACTAGAGAAACAGGTTCTTCTAGTGTAAAGCTGAATTCTGTAACTTTCCATCAGAGCTGATGGAGCAGCTGCTGTGGCATTTACCAAATGGTGAAATGTTATCTTACGGATGAAGGTTGCCACAAATATACATCATTGCTGATTAGATTAGATGGCGTCAGCTTTGGTCTGTAACCAGGCAAACACATTTTTCAACAAATATTGGAAAGTAAATACACAGTTTTGAATGTCTTACAACACTCTTCTACAAAAGTGCTTAACAGCTGTTTAGCAATCATAGAATTTGTGCAGATTTAAGCTTTTTACATTCTTGGGTGATTATCATAAGATAATAGTTCGACATCTTGGGAAATGTATTGTTTACCATACACAGCAGCTCAGTCCCAGCTCAGGGGACACATTATTATCACTATTATTCTACAGTCTTAAATGAAAGGCTGCCTATAACATGTCTGTGGATCCATGAAAGTTTCTGTTATAGATTTCTCAGGCCATCATCTAGTTCGTGCATCTTGATTTCTACTGTGTGTTATTTAAAGAAGGCACTCCAGTGTTATTAGGATGAAGGTTTATAAGCACAAAGCAGCTATTTAAGGAAAACACTGCACTCAGAGAAAACATCATAACTAGATTTGAGTCTGTTAAGGATATGATTAGACCCTGCAGGTTCTCGTCTCCATTAAATTGAATTGTTTAAAATGAAGCCAGTGAAAAATGAGTCAAAAAGAGACTTCTGGCAATGACACTGCCTGTCCCGCTCTGTTTAGCATTCCATTCTGTGCCTATACCATTACATCTCTGTTTTGCTGCAGTGCCAGTTTGTCCTCTACTGTATCATGCCTTGAAATTGTATTTTATTTTTATAGGTCTACCTTGTGGGTTTTGCAAACAATGGGAGCAAAATACCCTTTGCTTTGTTTGTGAGCTTCTTGGGCACAAGGACAGATAGTTTTCCCCTCTGAGGGAGGATATCGTTGAAGGATATTGTTCTTGGTATCATCACTGTGAGTGAATGTTTGGTGTGTGTGTTGCATTAGCTGCAGCAGGTGACTCAAGCAAAGCGATGGGATGATGTTGGGACGGCCAGGCGCACCTTCAGACAGTCCAGAATAGTCGAGTCTCTAGAATTCCCTGATGAGGACTTTGGCGTCAACCTGGGAATAGTAAGTGTCTGAGGCACATGCTGAGAGGACGTGTCTGCTTGATAAGGGAACTGAGAGCTTCTTCATTCTAAAGTTACACTATGATGTATGATAATTCAGCATAAATATAGTATTGATGCAGTTAATTAATCAGTTGCTTGATTTGTACCAAATGACTGACATCATTTTGCTAACTGATTAAAGTCATTTCTCAAGCAATTGTTAAAACAAATCACTGGTGTCATTTCCTGAAATGTGAGAATTTGTTGTTTTTTGTCTCTGGATTTGGGGCTGTTGAAAGTAATCAATCTGAAAATGTTCCTTTGGCGCTAGGAACACAAGATGGATATACAGTATATATATATTCATTTTAAAGAAGTTTCTCAAAACAAAGATCAATATGTTTAACTAACATGAAAACAGACACTTATTGCAGGCCTCTTATCAGTATCTTACTCTCATGTAAGATATGTAATATCTTACTCTTAAGACTAGAGCCGTCCCTGATAGGCTAGTGGTTAAGGTGCAGTGCTCTCGCCGCTGCAGCCTGGGTTCAAATCAGGATTGGGTCAAGAAGGGCATCCAGTGTAAAACATGTGCCAAATGTCAACATGCGAGTCTTCACTGTGACAACCCCTGAACGGGAAAAAGCCGAAAGTGACTATGTGCTAATAAATATCTTAGTATTATTACTGTAAAAATAGATGTCTGTCATTCAAGCCATCCTCTGTCCTACAGCACTTTTAGTATTTTTAGTGTCTGTTTCTCCAGTTCAAGACCACAGTTCCCATAATACCTGTAGCTTCCCACTGCAGAGACAGTGCCGATTTCCCCCTCTTCACCTTTCCCACCCCCATCCTCCTCCCCTCTCTTTCTGATTTCCTGTGACATAAAGCACAACATTTTGTCATTGTTGGTTATTAACAGCAGTTGTGCTAATGATTCAAAATGTACTGGAGGTGATAGAAGTGAAACAATCATGAAGCTGAATCAACGCTTTTATAAAAGTGAACATCCAAGCCTTCATAAATGTAGGATTTGGTGCAGGACTGTTGTATTAGATTGCATTAGTGTTAAGTAGGTCATAGCGTTGGACGCAGTGTTAAAATTAAATTGTTGCTCATTATAAAATTTTCTCTTTTGACTAAAGGACACTATGGCTATTAAGAAGCGGAGCTCCAGAACTAGAAGAATTCGTCCTGTGTGTACCAGACTGAGTGAGCTTAATGTTTTGATTTGAAGCTAATTGCCCTCAAGTGCTCACATATCGTGATATATTTAAAGTAATTGCAGGGTTAGGGTCAAATGACTTCCTGTTTTTAGTCAGATAAAAATCTGCTCTATTTCTTCAGCTACACAGGTTAGTGTCAAACTTTCCTCACTCTATGCTAATGCTAAAGGTAACTCTGTTATATATATTTTTAATTTTGTAGGTCATATCAAAAATAAAGGATTGATATGACTCTACTCTGACAGGCCAGACTTTCATTGTCCCCCACTAGTGCTACAGTAATGATCATTTTCTGACTCACAGGCAGTTGATTGGGGAGGCTAACACCCTGTGGGTACTTTTCATATCTACAGTATGTTCTTATATTTGAGTTTAGAAAAATGTAACTCAAACAGTTTTTTCATAACTACCCACTTACTTAGTGTTTCATGTTTATTTAAACTCAGAGGGCTGGCACTGAAACAGATTACTATGCTTTGTGGCTCTAAATGTGAAATGACATGAAAATAATTTCCACTGTGTTGCAACCATTTTCTGTGACATCACAGGTTTAGGTGATGAGCCCAGTTCCTCTCCCACCCCCTCTGCTCCACTTTACTCTGCCCCTCTTACCCACTCGGCATCATGGGAGTGTCTGTCCACCCTCCCAACCAATGGCTCTCCCTTACGCCATGTGACCCATGTCAGACCACGCCCACCGCGGAGGCACCGAGCAGGACACCTTCCTCCTGAATCTGTGAGTGAATTGGCAAATGATAGGGCAGTGACCTTTGACCCAGTTCTGAACTAGGCATCTTTCAAAAACCTAGAAAAGAAAGGAGATTTTTTTTTTTGGCTCTACTGTCCCATTTTTGATAACACAATGCAATTGAAGCTGTATAAGTGAGAAACTAAACCCGACATGTATTCAGTGGTTTTGAGATTTGGGGTTTTTGTGTTGTTCATCTTGTTTTTTGTGCCTATGGCACTTTCCAAAAATGTTCTTTTTAAAGCAGGAAGCTCTGTTGCATGTGTCTGTTGCTGAAATGTTAATTAATCATATGCAGCCATCTCCCAGGGCCTGTGGGGCAACCTCTAACACAGCAGCTTGTTTGTGTTGAGTCTTTGTAAAAGCTTTTCCCAAATTGGTACAGATTCAGTTAGTGCAGCCTGATGAGTTATTGTACAGTCTTCCGTTGGCAGTGCATTCCATTTTGCTGGCCAGCCATTTGAAATTATACCCTTTTTCAGCTTTTTGTCAACATGGAGGATTGATCACTGTTATCCTGTTATTTTGTTTGCTGTTGTCTCTATGTGTGTAGCATTGCTCAGAGAATGGTGGAGTCAGTATGCTGGAGGATGGACTTCCTGATTTCTACAGCAAGCGAGTGCTCCCTGACAGGTACTGCAGCTCACACACTATCCGTTTGACTTTTGTGCAGTCAAAATTCAGATAATATCTATTACAATGCCTTCTGAGAACAACAGACACACAGATGAGTCAAAGTAAGAACATTATTGGAGCTGATATTGAATACCTAATATTTTTCTCTTCAGCCTTTAATAGAGACAGATCCAAGCACACATGCAATACCATACTCTTGTAATTATGTAAGACGGTTCTTATTAGTATGAGATAATTTTCTCTTGAATGGGAGCTCGGGGCTGGTAAATTACTAGAGCGACTTTAAAGCAGCCATAATCAATATTTTTATATAAACAATGGATTAAATGACTCGGTGATGGATGGGGTCGCCCATAAAGATGACACCACAGAGAATGATCCCCTTACCCTACAGTTCCTCTCCGCTCAAAAGTGCATTTCATCATTTTTCTGTTCATTGACTTGGTTTTATGACTTTTAATGTAACTTTACTATTTGAGTCACTCTCACGGTTCTTGCCAGTGTTGTTTTCTACAGGAGCGGGCACATGATAACGCATTTTAAAGCTGTCCTGTAGAGTGTTTGACCACCAGTAGTGCTATAGATCAGTTGTTTGTACCTGTTGTGAATTACACAGTTCCTGTTCCTGAGAGTGGTTTCACAAAATTCCACTGATCTACAGTGGTTAAGTGGTAGCATGCCAAGGAATGGAGTAATCCACCAGCAAAGGCAGAAAGGAAGGCTGCAAGCTTGCAAACATGAATGTTAAACAATGCAAACTTTTAAGAAAGATTAGCTTTAAAATTCATCAACAAAGCTCTAAAAACCTACTCTACACTGCCTGCCCAGCACCAAACAAAAAAACTCTGTTACCAACTAGCTGGTGCTAGCTAGCTCATAAATTTTTAACTCAAAGTGAGACAGCATTAAATCTACTCTAACCACATGGAAATGATAGGCAATATGACTGTGGTGCCTAAAAAAAGATTTATTGAGGCATATATATTCAACCATCTGTACAGGCCACTCTGAATATTACGATTCCTAATATCATTAAATTGTTCATCCGATTTATTCATATAATACATACAATGTAATAAGCTCTTAACACTGGGACCAGGGTGCCAGTGATGACTTAGACTGATCAATGGCGATAAGCTCTTAACACTGGGACCAGGGTGATGACTTAGACTGATCAATGGCAGTTGGTGGCTCATTGACTGAATGACCAGTATAACCCCACACAAAATGACCTGATGCTTCTGTGTGTATCTTTTTCTATACCATCCTGTTCTTTAGCTTTCTTGTCATTACCAGAACCTAATCTCTCCTTCCTCCCCTGTATCGCCCCCTCAGTCAATTGGCATCCTTCCATGAGGCCCAGTCACTGAGGAGGAAGAAAAGACGCAGCATGCTCTCCATTTTTTCCGGCTTCCGCAAGAATCGTAACTCCACCATCTCTAATCGGGACTCGGAGTAAGCGTGTGGAACAGTGGCTGAGTGGAAGCAGGGAATGAAAGGAACATTTAAGTGCGCTGAGCCACAGAATGAGACGATGAATCCAGCGCTGGGGAATAACAGCGTCATAAATATTTTAATGGGAGAAAATATTTCAGCATCTCCAACTGTTTTGCTTTGCTTTGATTTTGGAACTGCATACATAACAACACCATAGGTTAAAAAGTAGACTGCGGTATTGCAAAGCAGGGAAAAATACAATGTGGAAAACCAATTAAAAAAAAATGAATTGCACAGATTATTAACTGAAGGGAGAGAGTAGCATTCAGTAGGTAGGCACTCTTT